TTACAAAGCTGGCTCAGAAAATACCTTAATAACATTGAAACCAGAGTTAATTATTTGTTATGTAAGAATATTTGAAAAAATGAGTCCAGGGTAAAAACCACATTTCAGTCATATAAAACCAGTGTATAATTTGTTTTTTCCTGCTAGTAACCAATTCTAACTTTTTTTTTTTTTTTTGCATAAAAAAAATATTTGTGTTGGAATTTAAACCTTAAGAAGGATCTTGAAGCCAGAACTGGTGATATGTTATCAAAGATAGTCATGATGGCATTTTCTTGTTTAGGTTTTAGGAAAATTATTTCAGAATTCCTATCTAATGTTTTAAAGTAGTTTAACACAGAGGACTAGAAATACCAAAAATTTAAAGTCTATGTATGGTTCTATTACTTTTAAAAATTCAGCTCTATAAAAGTGCTTTTAGGTTGGCTGCTTTATGATGCTTAAGCTACTAAGACCCATTCTTACTTTACAAGTCAGCTACTGTTTTAAGTGACAGTTACCTTTATAGATTAAAAAGTATGTTAGCTGGGAGGGAGCTTAGACACAGCTTCTACCCAAAACTTCCTTTGGTAGATAAGGAAATGAAAGGTTATATCAATGGCAAAAACGTGTAGTAGCATTGATGATCATCACTTAACGTTTTTCATTTGTTAGGAATGTACGTAGTTTTTAAATTTGTCTAGGAATGTGAGTATTGCTGAGGAATGTAAGTAGTTGTAAAATCTTGTGTTACAAGATTTTTGCATTTACATGAACTTTCACTCATTTTTCAGAATCTGTTCCTAGAGACAGAGAACCCAATACAAAAATGAGAACATATATGCATAATCAGAAGGATGCAGTGCAAGTGCCTAGTGAAACTCTGAAAGCAAATATGGTACCTGAGAAAGTTCCCCGCAGATGTGCTACTGTTGCTGCAAATAAAATAAAGATAATGAGTAATGTAAAAGAAACGATTTCAGGACCAGAAAATGTCTGGATTAGGAAGAGTAGCAGAAAACTGCCCCATCGAAATGCTTCCGCTGCGGCTAAGAAAAGATTACTGAATGTTTATAAAGAGGATGACACGAGCGTAAATTCTGAAAGTGAAAATGCTAGAAGATACTGATAGCAAAATGCTTTTTTTTAGGCGGTTCAGATCCTGGAAAGGAAAAGCACAATAGTTGACTATGAAAATGTAGACGTGGAATCTGAAAACAATCAGGGGCCACAAGTAAACTGGCAGTTGTATTCTGCTCCTAGTTCTGACGTAAATCCTTTGTTGACATCTTTTGAGGAATTTTCTAAAAGCCATGATCCAGTGGGTCAGAGTGGGAGAAAGCCTTCCTAACAGCCAGTCCTGGCAACAGATACGCACATCAGAGAATTCTGAGAAGGAAATAGCCTGTATGTAGTTGGAGAGGCAGAAAGAAATCACAAGTGGCCTGTCATATAAGATTCCTGTTCCTTTCCAGAAAAGCTAGGGCCTTGAAGAAACCTCTTGATTTCTGGGAGGAAGAAAATAATGGGAAGTGTAAAGGGTATGTAGGAAGAACTTCAAGGACTGAAAAAAAAATCAAAATCTCAACCTGATGCTAATTTTAAAGAGTTCTACATTAGAATATGAAAACTCAGACCACCATGATTATGGTCTCATTACTGAAATAAAAAAAGGAAAAATCAGGCACATTTCAACAGCAAGTGCCACTGAGCCTGTTTGACTTGAGTGAAGCAAACCAAATAGCTAGATTCAGTCCCTATAATTCACATCCTTCAAAGTCAAAAACAGACTAGAAGGAGTAAGGGATTCAGCATTGGGAATGTTGATAATTGAGTTCTGAGTGTCAGAAATAGGCAATTACAGAAAGTCTATTAATGTCTTACTTTCTTCATAATATGAAATTCATACTGAATGATGAGCACTTGATATGACTAATTCAGGGAGTATATATTTTTCTATGAAAGTTATGAATGACTATCACAACTTGTTTTCATTATTTCTACTTGCACGTAGCATTTTCAGAGATGCCAAAATGTACCTCAGTACGAGGCAGATTTTAGTTGTAATCAGAAAAAAAATAGATTAAGATCAAACAGTCATATTTTTTAGATGATACAATGAAATTCTCTCATGTTTCTTGTGGAAGGGTACACTGTAGCACCTTAAAAGTTAGAACTTTCTATGAACACTGACCAAATTTATCACAGTTCTGTCACAACACACTTTAACAACAGCATGTCTGGGCTATTTTATTGTGGCCTTCAATTAATAGGATTAGAAAATCTGGTCGTGATAATACAAAGAATTTCTTTGCAATGGGGTTTAATTTGTTGTTAACAGGCATTCCTTGAAATTAAGATCAGATTAAATGAATGTACTGTCAAATCTTAATATAGTAATATGTTATTGGAAAAATAAATTGTTAGGAGCAAGTTGTTTTCCCATTTAAAAATATCTGTGAATATTAATATATGATTTGCATGCATAAATCTGGAAAAGTAAATATAGAAATTTAGGGGTTTCTATTTTTTCATTGAAGACTGATGCATTTTTTTGGTTATACAGATGGACCAAGTGTCTAGATTACTTAAGAAATTTGTTTGTGGTTGCATGTCTGTTTAACAAATGGCTTTTTTTTAAAACTCATAAGCCAGAATATTTCTAATCCAGAGTCTGTGTTCTTTGCTCTGTTTGCAGTACAGTTTCATCTGAAATACTGATAACCAGTATCTTGTTAATAGTACCGGTGAGAAAGGGGAAAATTCCTAATAAACTGCTAATATTTTTAGTTGCATGGGGTTTGATTTTTGAGCTCTAATGAAATGTTTAAACCTATTTCCAGTTCCATATTCACATTTACTTTTGTAGAAATTTCTTATATTATAGCCTCAACAAATACCATACAATGAAAATATTTTTAAATCTCAGTTAAGGCTATTTTATGCAAAATTTTCTGTCAATTTCAGTGTAATGAAAAAATGTGAAATTATAATTTATCCTGGTGGGATTTTTGTCAGTACTTGAGAATGTACTCATCCCCCTTCTTTTATAACTGAATCCCTTTTCTAGCTTAGTATTTAATTTGAACATATATTTACCTTTTTAAAAGTGTTTGGCCTTTATAATTACTGCACAAAGTAAGCATTTGTTTAAAACTTAACATTCTTCTAAAACTGTTCTCTCTGAAATTTATGAAAAATTTAAATCATGGCCAAATGTATTAGCACTACCCTATCTACAATAATTTAAATGAGCTTTCCAGAAAAGATTTCTTCATAATGTAATTGTGAAATCAAATTGAGGATCTAACTGGTAAAAATCACAAGTTAGCTTATTCAACTAAAGGAGTAAGACGTAATTCCCAAACCATCTTTTTAGTCTGCGGTTTATTCTATAAAGTCATTTAATCCAGTAGTCCTAATGTGGTTTAAAAGTATCATATTGATAATCTTATATATTCTGTCTCACTAAGGATATCCAAATTTTCTTAAGCTTTTAGTGAATTGCAATTTGGGTTTATTAATTTGTTTATACTTAAATACTAAAATTTTGCTTCAACTCCCTCCCCTTTTTTCTTGTAGTAGATATGTAAAATGGCAAAATGGTGATTTTATGTATCATTGGTTGTTATTTCTCTAAATCTTTGGTAGACTTCCTAAGCTACTTACATTTAGAAAAAGAAGTTTCTAGCAACTTTGAGTTTTTTTTTTTAATTCAAGAAAAAGGCTCCCCTGCCCCCAAAGTATTACTTTATGGCTATTTATTGACAACGTTCCCAAATGCAAGCAATGCCATCTATTTTCAGTACAACTAAACCTAGGAAAACTGGTCATTTTTCATTGCAATACTGGAAATTTTCATTTTCAGTTAAATTATGCTGCAGTAGTTGTCCCCTTTTCCCATCTGATTAGTGCTCCGTGAATTGTCTTCCAGCACATTTCAAAGAAGAAAATCAAACAATTACATCCTTTGCTTATTAATGAACGGCTATTTAAAACAAAAACAAATTTTTTATTAGTTGGAAGTGGCCAAGTTTTAAAATAGAAGCAACTATTTTTGCATTCTCTGGTTTAAAAAATGTCTTTTAGATCAGCTTGACAATCGTGAACTTTCGAAATGTGAATTCCTATTGCCAGAGTAAAGGTTTCTTTTTTATAACCCCACGAAGCAATGCATTTTTTTCTGTTCTTCTGGTCACCTTCACAGCGCGGGGCCGCGGGCAGAACTTGAGGGTCGCCAGGCTCCCGGGTCCGCCCAGCCAAACCCTCACCGGAGTGCGCGGGGCCGGCACCTACCTGCAGGGACCGAGGCTCGGCGCCGGGTGCCTAATAAACCATAGTTCTCCCTGTCATCCCTATAGGAGAAGGAAAATGGAAACGGACTGACGGGAAGGGTAGGGAAGGAAAAGCGGTGAAGGCTGGAGTACGGGCGGCTGAGTTCTTCTCCGCGTCCGTTACCTGTCGGGAAGACGTCCCATCCCTTCTCTCCCAGGCCCGTCTCCGGCCCCTCTAGCCTGCAGCTTTCTAGTCTTTCGTGCTTCCGGCGGGACTCCAGCTGCGGGGTAAACACGCTGGGTTTCTGCGGCTGCGGAGACCTTGTGGAGAGCGGGGCGGGATCAGGGGGTGGAGCGCAGGGGCGGTGTAGGCTCTTGGCGGGGGTGGGACTCGGGCGCGGGACAGAGCTCAGGGGGTGGGGCTCAGGGGAAGGGGGCGGAGCGCGAGTGCGGACTCATGGGCGAAGGGCGGGTGTCAGCCCCCGGGGGGCGGGGTATACTCAGGGGCGGGGCTCAGATGAGGGGGCGGGCTCACGGGTGCGGGGCGGGGCTAAGGGGCGTGGGGCGGGGAAGACTCCAGGGACAGAGGCTCAGGGGTGGGCCGATTTAGGGGCGGGGCAGAGCTAAGGGGCACAGGGCGAAGTGCGGGGTCGAGGTCAGAGGCTCGGGGGTGGGGCTAATGCAAATAAGGGGCGGGGATTATCGGCACAGGGCGGGGCACGGGAGTTGGGCGGTGCTCCGGGGCGCGTGCGTAAGCCCGCGGCGCCGCAGTTGGGCCCGGGGGCCGAGGCGGCTATGGCTGCCACGTTCTTCGGGGAGGTGGTGAAGGGCCCGTGCCGAGCTGGCACGGAGGACGAGGAAGAGGAGGAGGACAAGAGGGAGACGCCTGAGGACAAGGATGTCCGGCGGCAGCTGATGCGAAAGAGGTGAGGCACTCGGCGCGGGGAGCCGCGGGCAGCCGGGTCTGATGGGAGGTGCGCGGCCTGCAGGCCCGAGTTGAGTTCGAATCCGGGGTGGTCGCTGTTGGTCGCGGGCCCCTGCCACTCTGCCGGCCCAGGTACAGTCAGCTGATGGTCAGCGCACCCCAGGCGCCCAGTCAGGCCTCTGAGGACCCAGCAGAGCCAGCGTCAGTAGTTTGGTGTAAGCGATGTTCGCATTGATTTGCTAGTATTGGAATTGAATCATGAAAATGAAACTGTTTTAGGAGTTGGATTCAGGTATGTTCTTTAAGGAAATTGCCTCCAACGCTTCGTTTAGCATGTATTTAGGATTGATTTCTTGCTGAATTGTAATCTTTCCGGTTCTTGCACGATTTTCTAGGGCTACAATGCTGTGCCCTTCGTGTGTCATGTATTTGGTTCATGGATGTTACCCGAGTTCTCTTAGAACTTTTTTATCCTCCGCTCCACACTTGCGTTAGCATTATGTGCCAATATCAGTTGGACACCATGACTTTTTAAAAATTATTTCCAGCACCCCAAAATTGGAGAGAATAATAAAATGATATCATCCCGTGAACTATCATGTAAATTCAGTAGTTATCAAGATTTTTCCACATTTGTTTCATTTTCCCCACCCTTAAGTGACTCCCAGACACCTTCACCCCCTATATCCTTCAGAATATGTGGCTAATGATATAGGCATTTTCTTACATAAACTGTTATCACCCCAGCAAAATGAACAATAATTCCTTAATATCACTAAATACCCAGTCCTTGACCAAATTTACCCAGTTGTCTCAGACATGACATTTTACAATGGGTTTGTGTAAATCATAATCCAAATGGGCCACACGTTACCGTTAGATGCTTTGTCTCTTGAGCCTCCTTTCATTTAGAGCGCCCCTCCCCCTTCCTTTTTAGCCTTATTGAGAGACTGGTGGTTCTGTAGAATGTCCCACATTTTTGAGTTTGTCTCATTGCCTCCTCATGGTGCCATTTAATATGTGTGTCCATCATTTCCGGTCCTGCACTGTCCCCTTGAATGTTTGCAGTCAGACTGTTGTGATCTGTAGGGTTTTCACTGGATGATTTTCAGAAGTAGATTGCCAGGCTTTTCTTCCTAGTCTGTCATAGTCTGGAAGCTCCACTGAAACCTATTCAACATTGTAGCAAGATACAATCCTCCACTGGAAGCCGTGGCTGCTCATGAGCTGCATCAACTGGGAATCGAACCTGGGTCTCCCACGTGGAAGGGGAGAGTTCTACCACTGAGCCACTGATGTCTTCATCTAAGACAGACCAGGAAGAGAGGCCTGGTGATCTGCTTCTGAAAATCAGCTGGTAAAAACCCCAGGGATCACAAAGGTTTATCCCATTGCGCATGGGATTGCCTTGAGTCGGGGACAGCAACAACAGCATCATCATCCATCATCTGCCTTTCCTGTAAATGGATGTTTGCTCTAGAGGCTTAGTTAGATTCAGGTTCAATACTTTGTTGGCTAGAATGCTTCAGAGGTGTGCTTTGTCTAGGTGCCCATCAACAGACGAATGGAAAAACAAATTATGGTACATACACACAATGGAATACTATGCAATGCTAAAGAACAATGATGAACCCGTGAAACATCTCACAATATGGATGACTCTGGAAGGCATTATGCTGAGTGAAATTAGTCACAAAAGGGCAAATACTGTATGAGATCACTATTACAAGAACTCCAGAAAAGGTTTAAACACAGAAGAAAACATTCTTTGATGGTTATGGGGGGTGGGTAGGGAGGGGGTATTCACTAACTAGATAGTAGATAAGGACCTTCTTCGGTGAAGGGAAGGACAACACACACTACAGGGGAAGTCAGCACAACTGTACCAAAGCAAAAACTAAGAAGTTTCGTGAATACATCCAAACACTTGGAGGAACAGAGTAGCTGGGGCTGGAGCTTGGGGATCATGGTTTCGGGGGACATCTAGGTCACTTGGCATAAGAAAGTCTATTAAGAAAATGTTCTGTATCCCACTTTGGTGAGTGGCGTCTGGGATTTTAAAAGCTTGTGAGCGGCCATCTAAGATGTATCAGTTGGTCCCAGCTCACTTGGAGTAAAGGAGAATGAAGAACACCAAAGACACAAGGAAAATATTAGCCCAAGAGACAGAAAGGGCCACATAAACCAGAGACTCCACCAGCCTGAGACCAGAACTAGATGGTGCTCAGCTACCATCAATGACTGCCCTGACAGGAACACAACAGAGAGCCCTGGACTGAGAAGAATGTGGAGTAGAACTCAGATTCACATAAAAAAAAACCAGACTTAATGGTCTGACAGAGACTGGAGGAACCCCAAAACTGTGACCCCTGGACGTTCTGTTGACCCAGAACTAAAACCATTCTCGAAGCCCACTCTTCAGACAAAGATTAGACTGGACGATAAAACAGGTAACAATACTCGTGAAGAGCGTGTGTCTTAGTTCATTTGGATACACGAGACCAAATGGGTGGCTCCTGTCCGGAAGCAGGAAGAGAAGGCAGGAAGGGCCAGGAACTGGTTGAATGGACACCAGAAACTTGGGGTGGAAAGGGGGAATGTGCTGTCACAATGTGGGGACTGCAACTAATATCCCGTAACAGTATGTGTGTAAGTTTTTGTACGAGAGATTAACTTGAGCTGTAAACTTTCACCTAAAGCACAATTAAAAAAAAAAAGTGTACTTTGTTATGGGTTGAATTGGGTCCCCCAACAATATGTGTTGTGAATTTTAAATTCCTGTACCTGTGGATATAATCCTATTTGAGGATAGGATTTTCCTTGTTATGTTAATGAACCCATGTCAGTGTAGAGTGTGTTGTAAGCCAGTCACCTATGAGATATAAAAAGAGCAAATGAGGCACAAAGAAGCAAGCACAGATGAGAGAAGGTGAAAATCACCCAGGAACAGCAGAACTGAAGCTAAAAGAGACAAAGACCTTCCTCCCGAGCTGACAGCGAGAGAAAGCCTTCCCTGAGAGCCTGTGCCCTGAATTCAGACCTCTAGTCTCCTAAACTGTGAGAAAATAAATTTCTATTTGGTAAAGCCACCACTTGTGGTATTTCTTTTATAGCACCACTAAGAAACTAAGACAGTGTTTCAGATTGGGCAGTGGGCCAGGTGGACAGCCTGTCTGTCTCTGTTGTTGGCTTCTCTGTCAACTTTGCATCTGATGGACTTATTGATTAGTTGTCATTACCTGAACTTCCTTTAGGATTGTAATCATGTCCTTTGTAAAATTCAGGTTTGCCCTTTTACCTATTATAGAATCATTCCTCATAAAATGCTGCCGACTGTCTTTAAGTTGCTTTAGTTTCATCTTTCTCTTTTTTGTATTAGGGAAGTACGGCTTCTTCGAAGACAAACAAAAACATCTTTGGAAGTTTCCCTGCTAGAAAAGTATCCTTGTTCCAAGTTTATAATTGCGATAGGAAATAACGCGGTAGGTAAGTGAAAATGCAGAGGACTACACGTTTTGTTGAAAGAACATAATATGAAGTCACTTATTTCCTTCCTTCATGAAAGATTTCAAACGTCTGTGACCTTTTTTAACAAGTTATAGTAGTGTAACCTTGCTTCTAGGTGAAATCTGCCCCTGAGTTTATTGCTCACGTGGTACCATCTTTCCATAAACTTGAAAAATAAGATTTAAAGGGAATGTTCCTGGCTTCAGGAGAACTTACACACTCAAGGAACTGTTTCTAGTGCCTAGAGGTATCCAGGTTTCCCTGCGCCCTCGGCCTGTTTTGGCCAGATGTGGGGGAGTAGAGGTAATGTGTACGTGGACCCCCTGTAGCAGTGGTTCTTAGAAGATTTTGAATTTATAGACTCGTTTGAGAACATAAAGTGAACTCTAAAAATAACAGCAATAATAATTGCTAACATTTCTGAGTACTCAGTTCTGAGGTCTTTATGTGTGTTAATTCACTTGATGGGTTAAAGGGAGAACAGTGTAGAGTTCAGCTGAAACAGTACGTGTATATGTCCATACACAAACCTGTATCATTTCGGGGGGCTCACAGGCTCTGAGGAGGGCATTGGGGAACCCCAGTAAAGATCCTTTGCCCCATAAGGGACCCTCACTGCTCTTGGAACATAGTAAAACAGTTGCAATCAAGTTGACTCTGACTCTTGGCGACCCTACACGTGTCAGAATAGAAGTGCACTCCATAGGGTTTTCAGTAGCTGATATTTTGGAATTAGATCACCAGGCCTTTCTTCTGAAACACCTATAAGTAAACTTGAACTGCCAACCTTTTGGTTAGCAGCGAAGCACTGAACTGTTTGTCCCACCCAGGGACTGTAGAACATAGTCAGTAGTTGGTAAATAACTGTTGACTTGATCATATAAAGTTCTCACATTTTTCAGTAGAGTGTTGCAGTATGAGAATAGAGTAAAAAGTCTGTCAATAAACCTGTTCTCCATCCTGGCTCTAACGTCTCCTTTATTCAAGGTGTGGCCTTTCACATCTTGAGGACCTGAGGTTCCGTATCTGCTACGTAGAAGGCCTTGAATGGTTCTTTCAGCTTTAAAATTCTACAGTAACTTGAACTTGTTATTGAAAAAGAACATGCAACTTGAGTAAGGAAGCACTAACTTAGGTGAATTGTCTCCACAGCATTTTTGTCTTCATTTGTTATGAACTCAGGCGTCTGGGAAGAAGTTGGTTGTGCTAAACTGTGGAATGAATGGTGTAGAACCACAGACGCGATCAGTCTGTCCCCCACAGAGGCTTTTTGTGTGTTTTATCATCTAAAATCGAATCCTTCGGTATGTGGAATTTAACTTGTATATTTAAAAAGTCATTATTAAGCATCATGTATGTGTTGTTTGTCTTAGTTACTAGTGTTGTAACACAAATGTCACAAGTGCGTGACTTTATTATTTTTTTAAAATTTTTTTAAATTGTACTTTAGGTGAAGGTTTACAGAACAAATAGTTTCACCTTACACAGTCAGTACGCATATTGTTTTATGACGTTGGTTAACAAACCCACAACATGTCAATACTCTCCCTTCTCGACCTTGGAGGACATTTTTTCTTTTTTGGTGAAAATATATATAGCCAAAGATACACCATTTCAAAAATTTCTACAGGTACAATTCAGTGACATCGATTACGTTCTTCCCATTGTGCTGCTATTCTCCCTATGCTTTTCTAAATTATTCCATCACCATTATCTTCAACTTACTGCCCTCTAGGCTTCCATCAGACCTTTTGAGTTGCTGTTATCAATTTGATCTCATGTAGGTAATTCTTTTTTTTTTTTGGTACCTTTAGATGAAGGTTTACAGAAGAAATAGTTTCTCATTAAACAGTTAGTACACATATTGTCCTATGACAATGGTTAACAACCCCACGACATGTCAACAGCGTCCTTTCTCAACCTTGGGTTCCCTATCACCAGCTATATAACTCAGAAGCAATTAGGTTTAGGGCACCCTATGCTGGTATGACCTTGTTAACAAAAGAAAACCTCTATTTCCAAACAGGATCACATCCACAAGTACAAGGGCCAGGAATTCACCACATATGTTTTGAGGGCACAATTCAATCCATGACACTGTGTATTTGAATTCTCCATTTATATCTGCTTTGGGGCTGCGGAATTCTGCCTATAGGCAGTGATACCAAAAAGCCCAACCCATCACCACTCAGTTGATTCTGACTCATGGCGACCCCATGTGTTACAGAGTAGAACTGCTCCATAGTGTTTTCTTGTCTGTAATCTTTATGGAAGCAGATTGCTAGGCCTTTCTTCATGGTGCTGCTGGGTTGAATGGAACCACCAACCTTTTGGTTAGTAGTTGAGCGCAAACCAGTTGCGTCACCCAAGGACCTTCAAAGTAACCACCTTATATAAATATTAATGTGGGATACAAGATGTGTTGTTAAAGTTCTTTTGAAATTCCGAGATAACTTTTGTTACAAACAAACTGTAAACATTAGATAGTTAAGGCTTTCCCTCATTCAGAAAATTACTTCACCTGGCAACTCTGACAAGACCCTGCTCACTCCCCGGGAGCAAGGAGTTCTGCTTTGTTGCCATCTACCCAGTATTTAGCCAGGGACTGGTTCATACCAGAAACTCGGTAAATATTTGTCAAAGAAATGAATGTTTTATGCATTCTAAACACCACTCTGTTGACATCAAGGTTTCGTTCTGCTCTAATTCATTCTGATTTTTTAAGTTGTCAATGCTGAGTGATTTCATTGGACTGCGTTGTAATCCTAATCTTGGTTCATTCAGAGAATGTGACTCGGGTAATTTGGGAAACAAGTCAGGCAGGTGAGGTGGCCAAGCAGGTGACAAATATGTCCCCATGCGCTTGTCTGAGAGAGTCCCATTCCACAGCTGTTAAGCACTTGAGCAAAGGGACTGAAACAATGAAAGAAGTCAGTGAAATAAATTCCATTATACTATATATTCCATAATATTATAATGTTTGTTATAAGGACTAAACGTTAGCCTTGAAAACTATAAAATTTGCTTTTATAATATTCATAGTTTGCTTCGGTAATATGTAATCCAAAGTTATTTAACTTTAAATTTGCCTAAGAATTTTCATTTCTTAATAAGGGAGGTATGCATGTTCTATGTGATCCTTAGTGAAAATTTAGACTAGGTAATGAAAGTCAACTAAGAAATTTCTGTTGCTGTGTCTAGTTGTACCAGATTGCTGTTGATGATTCAGAACCTACTGTGTGGTTAATCATATATCCAATTTTCTTCCCTAACCCATGCCCTTTTTTCTGTCTTATGCTTTCTGCGATCTGCTTCCGTAAAGATTACATCCTTGGAAACCTATGGGGCGGTTCTACTCTGTCCTGTAGGGTTGCTATGAGTCAGAATCGACTCGCTGGAAGTGTTTTTTTTCCTGTGTGAGTGAGTGTGTGTGTGTGTATATATATGTATGATATGTATCTGTACATGGATTAGGATTCACATTATATATATGGTGACAGTTTGGGGTATGCATAAAATTTATTTGGCTTGACACAAAACTTGTAATTTGATTTTTCAGGTTTTTCTTTGTCAGTGCAGTTGCTACGTTGCCGAAGATCAGCAGTATCAGTGGCTGGAAAAGGTAAGAGAGGAATGGAAAGCTGTGAAAGATTTGACTCCAGGAGCTGCTGTTTTAAAGGGTTCAATATCTTTTCATTTAAATCCATGCAGTCAGATATTGGGGGAATGAGGGGAAGTAATTGTTTCTTCTCAAAACTATTGTAGGAGCTTGCAGAGAATAGAATAAAAAGAACTATGTATTTAATATGATCAATTTAACAGATCTAATCAGCATTGTGCTAAGGGTTACAGGTCAGAGAAGTATAAAACATAGTTGTATTCTTCCCACCTGACAGCCTGTTATTTTGTCTGAAGGAAAACCAGGCAGCCCACATGAAACAGCAGTGTCATAGCCAACGGTGGGAAACCACAGAGTGGGCTGATGGGCCTGCAGACAGGCGACATGCAGGGAAGTGAGGCAGGGAACAGAGCTGGCCTCCAGCTCTCAGCTACCCCTCACCATTCACCCCAAAAGTGTCCATGTTTGTCTTTTATTACAGCCACTTTTCTTACCATTAGGCAGGAAAAGATTGAGTCTTCATTTTGTTGGAAAATTCTGCATGTGCTCAATAAAACAAATTTTTTAATGAAGATTTCACTTCAGTAACTTTAGAGAATAATCATAATTTTGGCGGTTTTATTTTATTTTTAAATGCAATATATCTTAAGGATTGAGGCCTTGTGAGTATACATCATAGCAACATGTCAGCTTAAATCTTAGGAATATTTCTGTATAGGTAACCAACTAGTTGCTGTCAAGTTAATTCTAACTCATAGCGACCCCATATGTGTCTTAGTAGAACTGTGTTCCACAGGGTCTTCAATTGTTGACTTTTTTTGAAGTACGTAGATCTCCAGGCGTTCTTTCCAAGGTACCTCTGGATAGCCTTGAACCGCCAACCTTTCGGTCAATAGCCGAACATGTTAACTGTTAGCACCATCCAGGGACTCTCTTAATAGAGGTATTGGAATTAAATGCATTAGAAATAGGAAATTTGGTGTATACCTGTTTAAACCCCCACACTTCTGTCAGTTTGTCGTACTGTGGTGGCTTGCATGTTCCAGTGATGCTGGGAGCTATGCCACTGATATTTCAAATACCAGCAGGGTCACCCATGGTGGACAGGTTTCAGCAGAGTTTTCAGACTAAGACAGACTAGGAAGAAGGACCTGGTGATCTACTTCTGAAAAAATTGGCCAATGAAAACTTTATGAATAGCAGTGGAACATTGTCTGCTATACTGCTGAAAAATGAGCCGCTCACATTGGAAGGCACTCAGAATACAACTAGGGAAGAGCTGCCTCCTTAAAGTAGAGTCGACCTTAGTGACGTGAGTGGAGTAAAGCTTTCGGGACCTTCATTTGCTGATATGGCATGACGCAAAATGACAAAAAACAGCTGCAAACACCCATTAATAATTGGAATGTGGAATGTACAAAGTATGAACCTAAGAAAATTGGAAGTTGTCAAAAATGAAATGGACTGCATAAACATCCATATCCTAGGCATTATTGGGCTGAAAAGGACTGGTATTGGCCATTGTGAATCAGCCAGTCATATGGTCTGCTATGCTGGAAATGACGAATTGAAGAGGAATAACTTTGCATTCATTGGCAAAAAGGACATTTCAAGATCTGTATGGAAGTACAATACTGTCAATGATAGGATAATATCCATATGCCTACAAGGAAGACCAGTTTAATATGACTATTACTCAAATTTTGCACCAACCACTAATGCCAAAGATGAAGAAATTGAAGATTTTTACCAGCGTCTGCAGTCTGAAATTGATTAAACATGCGATCAAGATGCATTGATAATTACTGGTGATTGGAATGCGAAAGTTGGAAACAAGAAGGATTGGTAGTTGAAAATTATGGCCTTGGTAGAAACGACTCCAGAGATCACATGATAGAATTTTGTAAGACCAACGACTTTTTCATTGCACATACCTTTTTTCAACAACATAAATGGTGACTGTACACGTGGACCTTGCCAGGTGGAATACACAGGAATCAAATTGACTACATCTGAGGACAGAGACGATGGAGAAGCTCAGCATCAGTCAGAACAAGGCCAGGGGCCGACTGCGGAACAGACCTTAAATTATTCATATGCACGTTTGAGTTGAAGCTGAAGAAAATTAGAGCAGGTCCATGAGAGCCAAAATAAGACCTTGAGTATATCCCACCTGAATTTAGAGACCATCTCAAGAGCAGACATGACGCATTGAACCCTAATAACTGAAGATCAGATGAGTTGTGGAATAACATCAAGGACATCATACACCAAGAAAGCAAAAGGTCATTAAAAAGACAGGAGATAAAAAAAAAGACGAATGGATGTCAGAAGAGACTGAAACTTGCTCTTGAATGTCAAGTAGTTAAAGTGAACAGAAGAAATGATGAAGTAAAAGAGCTGAACAGAAGATTTCCAAGGGCGGCTCAAGAAGACAGAGTAAAGTATTATAATGACATGTGGAAAGACCTGGAGTTAGCAAACCAAAAGAGAACACGCTCGTCATTTCTCAAGCTGAAACAACTAAAGAAAAAATTCAAGTCTTGAGTTGCAATGTTGAAGGATTCTATGGGGAAGATACTGAACGATGCAGGAAACATCAAAAGAAGATGGAAGGAATACGCTGAGTCACTATACCAAAAAGAATTGGTTGATAAGCAATTTCAGGAGGTGGTATATGATCAAGAACCGATGGTACTGAAGGAAGAAGTGCAAGCTGCACTGAAAGGAATGGCAAAAAACGGCTCCAGGAATTGATGAAATGCCAGTTGAGATGTTTCAACAAACGGATGCAGTGCTGCTGGTACTCACTCCTCTATGTCAAGAAATTTGGCAGACAGCTACCTGGCCAACCAACTGGAAGAGATCCGTTTTTGTGCCCATTCCAAAGGTGATCCAACCGAATGCAGAAATTATCAGACAATATCATTAATATCACACGCACAAGTAAAATTTTGCTGAAGATCATTCAGAAGAAATTGCAGAAGTACATCGACAGGGAACTGCCAGAAGTTCAAGCCAGATTTAAAAGAGGAACATGGAACGAGGGATATTATTTCTGATGTCAGATGGATCTTGGCTGAAACAGAATACCAGAAAGATGTTTACGTGTGTTTTATTGATCATGCCATGGCATTGGACTGTGTGGATCATAACAAATTATGGCTACCATTGTGAAGAATGGAAATCCCAGAACACTTAATTGTGCTCATGCAGAACCTATACATAGACCAAGAGGCAGTTGTTGGAACAGAACAAGGGAATACTGCGTGGTTTAAAGTCAGGAAATGTGTGCGTCAGGGTTGTATCTTTTCACCATACTTAGTCTATATGCTGAGCAAATAATCTGAGAAGCTCAACTATATGAAGAAGAACATGGCATCAGGATTGGAGGAATATGCATGTCTTAGTTATCTAGGGCTGCTATAACAAGTGGATGGCTTTAACAAAGAGAAATTCATTCTCTCACAGTCTGGTAGGCCAGAAGTCCGAATTCAGGGTGCCAGCTCCAAGGGAAGGCTTTCTGTCTCTGTCAGCTCTGGAGGAAAGTCCTTGTCATCGTTCTTCCCTGGCCGAGGAGCTTCTCAATGCAGGGACCCCGGGTCCAAAGGATGCGCTATTTTCGTGGCTCTTGTTTCTTGGTGGTATGAGGTCCCCCTGCCTCTGATTGCTTCTCTCTTTTGTGTCTCAAAAGAGATTGGCTTAAAATACAACCTAGACTTTTAGATTGAGTCCTGCCTCATTAACATAACTGCCTCTAATCCTGCCTCATTAACATCATAGAGGTAGGATTTATAACACATAGGAAAATCACATTGGATGACAGAATGGTGGACAGTCACACAGTACTGGGAATCATGGCGTAGCCAAGTTGACATATTTTTTGGGGACACAAATCCATGACAATGCGTTAACCTGCCATATGCAGATGACACAACCTTGCTTGCTGAAAGTGAAGAGGACTTGAAGCACTTATGGATAAAGATCAAAGACTAAAGCCTTTAGTATGGATTACACCCCATCCTAAAACAAAAATCCTTAAAACTCAACCTATAACCAACATCATGGTAAACGAAGAAAAGATTGAAGTTGTCAAGAGTTTCATTTTACTTGGATCCACAATCAGTGCCCATTAAGCAGCAGTCAAGAAATCAAACGATGTATTGCATTGGGCATATCTACTGCAAAAGACCTCTTTAAAGTGTTGAAAAGCAAGGATGTCACTTTGAGGACTAAGGTGCGCCCAACCCAAGCCATGGTATTTTCAGTCGCCTTATATGCATGGGAAAGCTGGACAATGAATAAGAAAGACCGAAGAATTGATGCCTTTGAATTATGATGTTGGCGAAGCATATTGAATATATCACGGATTACCAAAAGAACGAACAAACTGTCTTGGAAGAAGTACAGCCAGAATGCTCCTTAGAAACAAGGGCTTTGTCTCATGTACTTTGAACATGTTATCAGGAGGGATCAGTCCCTGGAGAAGGACATCATGCTTGGTAAAGTGGAAGGTCAGCGAAAGAGAGGAAGACCCTCAGCAAGATGGATTGACACAGTGGCTGCGATAATGAGTTCAGACATAGCAACGATTGTGAGGATGGCGCAGGACCGGGCAGTGTTCCGTTCTGTTGTACGTAGGGTCGCTGTGAGTCAGAACCCACTCGACAGCACCTGACAACAACAACAATTGTTTAAACCAGATTGGCATAGTTAGGAACATTTACTAACAGTTACTAAGTATAGTTTATTAGATGAGGAACTATTGAAGTTGGCCTCTGAGTCTCCCGATGATTACATACACAAGTTTATGTTCACGTACCTGTGTGTGTCTTTCTAGGGAGAGGTCCTTAGCTTTCATCAGATCTCAGAAGGTTAGGAACTGCTGTATTAACTTGTGTCTTTAGTTTATGTGGGATGATTGTCACGTCAAAGATATTTTATTATTTTTGTACTGTGGAACAAATGAGCACATTTTCTCTTTTAGACTGGAAAAAAATACCAAATTATGCATTTTCAAAACAATATTTTTTAATGATTTTTTTCCTAGGGGTACTTGTTGAGTCCCCTGCTGTTGGCTCCAGGTTAGCTACATAATCCTGGTAGTTATGCACAGTTTAACAGAGGTGTCACACTACGGATTCAGACTATAAGTATTCCAGGGAGGATAACAAGTGAGGCCGTGTGAGTGATGTTCTCTTAAATGGGATGTACTTGGTAACAAATGTATATAGTGTTAACTTTTTTGTGTTTATTTACAAAGCTGTGATACAATGAAATTAGCCTCACAAATCATTTGTGGCACATAATATAAAATCTTCAATTCTTTTGTCATTATTTGAAAATAGCGATTTTATTCTCTTCATAAAATATTTTCAAACAAGGTGAAGTGACCTAAAATCTCATTTTCGTTTATAACTAACGGCTTTCTTTGTTTATATCACCATAGATTCTAAAAGCTAGAAGGGCCCTTGGAAATCTGTCTGATCCAAGCCCTTCAAATCACGAAAGAGGACATTGGGGTCTAGAGCAACGGGAACTTGCCTATAATCATAGAAATTAAGAAAATGGATGTAATAAAAATCAGTTTTCCAGATCACTGGTGCCTGGAAGAGGGCGTGAGCACTGGGCATGCTTGCAGTCACCAGCAGGTGCTCACGGTTGATTAACTCAGCTACTCTGGATCACAGTTTTGTGGTTGATGCTCTGGGCGCTTGTTTGTGGTTTTCTTTTAGTCCGTGTTGCAGCCCTGGTGGTCAGTAGTCCTGTCCTTAGTTCACAGAGGAGTAATGTGACTTGGAGAAGATCATGTGCCTAGAAAGTGACAGAACCCAGCTCATGCCCAGGCCAGGGGGACAGCAAAGCAGGTGTCTTGTTCCTGAAGGAACCCTCTCTCTCCTGCAAGGAAGGATACCACTGTGTATTGTTTTAGGCAAATTACTAGGGGAAGGTTTGCATTCTATAGCAAAAGTATATGTTTTTTTCTTACTTTTTAATTTGAAATCAATTTTGTGTTAGGTTTTTGGCTCTTGTCCAAAAAAGAACATGCAGATAACTATTCTCACGAGTCGACATATCACGGACTATAAAACTTCAGAATCTACCTGCAGCCTGCCGTCTCCTTTCCTGAGAGCCCTAAAAACACAGAGCTTCAAAGATCCGGTGTGTTGTTCGCTGCTAGAACAGCCAAATATTGTACATGATCTTCCTGCAGCAGGTACTACTGCAGTACCTCACATTTTACATTATATCTTGTGATTGCTTTGTTGGGACTTACTACTTTCACTGCTATGTTGATCTTTTTGAAGTCATTTGTTAATGATGATTGATAATTGATACTGAAGTATTGTTCTTAATCCTTAGTATCTGTAGTTATTAGTACGTTGTATTTGGTTTAAGTTTTAAAACTTTCCAGAGTTACCTTATGAGAGCAGCTCAGATTTCTTAACTGTTGTGTTTCAGAGGTGCTGTGTTTCTTTTTGGTCTTTGAGAACTCAAAAATGCAAGCTAGTGTTAGAAGTAAATTATCGGTGTATGAAAAGTGGATAAGGTAAGTCGTAAGTATCAGAGTAGGTTTCGGATATTGAATCTCGGTAGTTGCTTTAATATTTTTAATCACTGTTATTAATTATGTTCTAGCTTCATGTCAGAAATAGATTTCCGTTCACTATTCAGTAGTTAATATGTTATATGATTAATTATTGTTTGTTAATTTTATTAAAGAGTTGTTGTTTTTTGCTTTTAAATGTTAAGCGTACTAGAATGTGAATTGGCTAGATATTTTACATTACGCATTATATATTTGTTATTGCTCATAATTTACTTTATTATAGTCAGCAAAATTTTAATCCTTAAGCTACTTTTAAAGTGTGTCTCAGAATTATGTCAGGAAATGTAAATGAATATAGTATTTACAAAAGCAAGAGATTCCTTAGGAAGATAAATTGGCTTTGAAAGAAAATATGCTTTCTAGATTGGTTCAAAATGGCAGTGAATGCCTTGATTACAAGAGAAACAGAGACTTGACTATTTTTCAGATCAGCCATTGTTATTTAAAGTTGTTTTAAGCATCGTATAATAGAAAGCTTAAGTGTTTTTTCTATGTATCTTCATAGTTCTCAGTTATTGTCAAGTATGGCGAATTCCTGCAATTCTGTACTTGTGTTATACTGATGTCATGAAACTAGACCCCATTACAGTAGAAGCTTTTAAGCCTATACTTTCTTCCAGAAGCTTGAAAGGTTTGGTTAAGGTAAGCTTTTAACTCATTTGAACTAATAGCTGTGTTAATATATTTGAACTGAATAGCAAACACAGATGTATGGTATCAATTTAAAACATAAGCAACACTCAGAGAGCCTTTCTCCTTGGAAGAACACTTCTAGTATGAATTGGATTATCACTCTTCTTGGTAGACATCTATAACTTGATTAGTGTTTTGTTAGTGTATGATAGATTAATACAATGCAATTAAATCCCAAATGTCTGCATAGAAAGATAGTTTTACTGTTTAGGAAGTTTCTGTAACTAATTAATTTGGAAGGTTGTAATTTTTGAGAAGGCGTTTTTGAGCAGAGTATGGATCAAATTATTGTAACGTTTATTCACATACTTTTGCATGGGACTGGATATGTGAAGATGAGAGATTTATATAATAAACTTGTTCCCTGCCCTTAGTTTATAAATATCTGTGGGCTCTTTCCCCAGCAAATACCTAAAGGACCACATACACAGAAAGTTTTGCCTGTAATTTCAAGTAGTTTAGAGACTCCCTTTCTATCCCTAAGAGATTTACTGAAGGTCCCTGGACCTCCAGTTTAAGAACTTCTTTAAAGGAAAGAGATTAGAACAACATTGTTCCACACCCGTTTTATTGTGGAACGACCGCCAGTGGTAAGAAGACTTTTCTGATGAGTTCTGTCAGAGCTAGCTCGTTTCTCAGGTATCATAAGTTAGTTCCCTTACTAGACTGTCAGTGCTTTGTGGGAATGGAACATTTTTTTATTTTGGTATTCCCTCAGTTCATCATATACGTGGCATGGAGAAGAATGAATGAGGAGTAAAGCTGTAACATTCTAGAATAGACTTCAAACATATCTTTCAAATTAGATAGAATTATGGATCATTTTTCTGACAAACTTAGTTCTTTTTATATTTAGTATTTCTATCAAAGTGTACATTAACTAATAATTTTGTTTGCTTATATAGTTAACTTTCCTTTGCTTATATAGCCATATAGTTGCTCATCTCAATTTAGAAAAATGTTCCCTGAGGGCAGGGACTAGGTCTGTTTTGTTCACTGCTGTCTTCCCAGCCCTTGGTACTATGCTCAGCACACAGGCACTTCATAAATATTTAGATTTGTTCTGAGCGTTGTCAATTGTTTCTCCTATAGTTTTTTTTTTTTTTAATTGTGGTAAATATATATGCAGCAAAACATTTGCCATTTCAACATGCTTCACATGTCCAGTTCAGAGACACTGACTTCTGTTCCTCTTGTTCTTCAGTCATCACCCTTATCCGTTTCCAAGTGTTTCCATCACGTCATAGAGGTTTGAAGTAAACTTGCAGCTTTTAAGAACAATTTTTGACAGGCAGATTTAAATAAGCTTTTTAAATCTTATTTAAATTTATTTCATGTCTTCAACTTTGAACATAATGATTTGTGGGAGAGTGAAATGGCTGTTTTGAAGAGTGTCATTTCCTTAAAGACCAAACGCAGACATCCTGAGTTAGTTCATAGTTTTCTTTCAGTTTAAAAGTGGTATTTGTTCACCACAGTAGAGCTATCTTAAGTCTCTACTGCACGGACACCACAGTGTCCATGTGTGGTGTTCCCTCAGTTCATCACGTACTTGGCATGTAGAAGAATGAACGAAGAGTAAAGCTGTAAAACTGTAGAATTTAACATACTTCAGACATGCAGTGTTTGGTGAGTTAGCTCCACAGTCACAGGGAGGTGCTGGGATTGTAATGCCAGCCAACCTGATGGGAGGCTCAACTTGTATGCCAGCTGTGGGGAGGCAGGGCCTAATCCTGTGGGGAGGCTTTGTGGGAAAGTGGCAGTTCAGCTGGATTTGAAAGATAGGTGAGTCTTGGTGGGAATGTGCAGAGGGAAGAAGCAGTGTGAGCACAGAGTGGGCATGTTCAGTGTAGAATTAGGGTGTGGAAGGAGGTGCGGGATGATGTGAGAAAGAGGCCCAGGTGGTTATGTTAGTCAGAGGAGCTTTGAGCAAGGGGAGGACGCGCTTCAGAGTCTTACCTACTTGCTTTTTTGCTTGAAAGAGATGAAAGGCAGCGCCTGAACCATTTCGGGCCGTTCTTTGTTTAAGTCTTGAAGACTGTGAGGGTTGGGCTCTGTAAGTTGCTTCTAACTGAATTCTTGGTCTCACTGGATTCTTAGCAACTTTTTTCTCTTTCTAGAATATTCCCCAGAGCACAGAGATGCTGAAGAAACTGATGACAACAAATGAGATTCAGAGTAACATTTACACATGATTCTAAAGATCGTTTTTATAATGTGTATTACCTGCCTTTCCCTTGAAGGGGAGCAGTGTGTACTATTTTTTTGGTTAGTTTTTTTTTTTTTGGTGGGGGGATATTTTGAAGGGCACAAAAACAGAATAAACTTATTTTAAACTCATTTGTAGTTTAATTCTTTTTTTTTTTTTAGTGTTTTATTTTTCCCATACAAAAACGTATACATACATTGTTATGTGTCTCTAATTGCTCTCCCCATACTGTGACAGCACACTGCTCCTTTCCATCCCTGATTCCCCATGTCCATTCAGCCAGGTCCTAACCCTCTCTGCCTTCCCGTCTCACCTCCGGACAGAAGCTGCCCGTTTAGTCTCTTGTATCTTCTTGAGCTAAGAGGCACACTCCTCACAAGTATCGCTTTATGTCTCACAGTCAGTCCAATCCCTGTCTGAAGAGTTGGCCTTGGAACTTGTTTTAGTTCTGTGCTGATAGAGAATCCAGGGACCATGCTTTCTGGGGTACCTCCAGTCTCAGACCATTAAGTCTGGTCTTCTTACTAGAATTTGAGTTCTGTACCCCACCTTTCTACTGCTCCATCAGGGACTCTCTGTTGTGTTCCCTGTCGGGGCGGTCACTGGTGGTAGCCAGGCACCATCTAGTTCTTCTGGTCTCAGGCTGATGAAGTCTCTGGTTTATGTGGCCCTTTCTGTCTCTTGGGCTACTGCTTTCCTTGTGTCTTTGGTGTTCTTCATTCTCCTTTCCTGCAGGTGGTTGGGACCAGTTGATGCATCTTAGATGCCGCTTGCAAGCTTTTAAGACCCCAGATGCCACTCACCAAAGTAAGATGCAGAACATTTTCTTAATAAGCTTTCTTACGCCAGTAGACCTAGATATCCCCTGAAAGCATGGTCCCCAGACCCCTACCCCTGCTACTCTGTCCCTCAAAGTGTTTGATTGTATTCAGGAAACTTCTTAGCTTTGGTTTAGTCCAGTTGTGCTGACTTCCCCTGTAGTG